CTGAGAGTCAGATTCTGACCTCAGTTACACTAGTGTGAATCCAGAGTAATCCCTTGGAAATCAATGCAATTACACCTGGACCTACTCTAGTGTAGCTGAAATTGAAATCTGGCTCTATGTGTAAAGGAGAGATATGCTTTAGTTCTGCTGAATTTCTAGTAAAAAGGGACTTGCCGAAGTTTAATGCCACTGCTGCTGGGAATGTCAATGTACATGTACAGCTGCACTGACAGGTGTCATTTACAAGGGTATTTGCAATAACAGGGTCATTGTATAGCCATGTTTACAGCTAAAGATGTCCCTCTAGGGCCAGGATTACATTGATGAGTGGTTCTCTGCAGTTGTACTTGCACCACATGATATGCATTCAGTGGCCGCGCACTGTAGCTGTAATAGAGACGCCTGCTGTTTCGAGATCAAAAAGAAAAGATGGTAAACATCTACTGACAGGTGCTAAAAAATAATTCAGGGCCTAATTCTGAGAGGTGCTGAGCCTCAATGTCTCCTTTTGCCTTGAATCTCAATCAGTGTGGCTCAGCACCCCTCAAGTAGTGGAATTCAGGCCAATAAGTTTCCCTAAGGTCACTTTTGCTGCAGAGGACTATGAGACTGAGCACATATATATGTATTTTCTCTTTGGAATTGCAGCTGTTCAGTGTGATAGTTATTATTTATTACATACGAAGTGACCTGTGTATAACACTCTGTAAATGAGCTGTGCCAAACATGTAAAGCTCATACCCAGTTTATGGCATGAAATGATAAAAACCGTACTGCCAACTCCAGGAATTCAGAAATCTGAGTCAGGCCCCCAAAATCTTTTATTTGCTTTCTGCTTTTTGGAGCCTTTAGATTACTCTCAGGTTTTTCTCTGCAACCAGGAGGGCTAGGAACTTAACGTTTCTTTAAAATGAAAACTAAGATTCTCATGTAATCACCTGACATCAGGAGCTGGGGCTTGAAGTAAATACCAAATATTATGAGACTGGTGATAAAATTGCAACAGTTGACAACACTGAAATATGATACAGACAGCAAACATGGAGAGTGATCATTAAAAGTGGCATGCCTTTTTCATATATATTTTGGAAACAATAATTGGGCTATGATGAAAATTCCTATACTCTGCAAGATGGGCAGAACAGCTAGGGTGACTGGTCTGGATGTGGATGAGGATACATTAATTCATAAATAGCAAATTTATAGCACAAATAGGACATGTTATATCTACAGATTGGCTCAAAGCAAACCCCAGACCTGCATACCCTAAATTGTGGTGGGGGAGGGGGTCATTTATAAACTGAACCTGAATTCAGAATTTTGCAGTAGGCTCTTATCTTTCTAACAAGCCACATCAAAACTCGGAATCTGAAATCCCTGAAATACACAGTGTAGAAAATCCAGCTCTACGGTTTGAAGTGTTGTTCCTGCTGTAATTCTGGCCCTGATTCTGCTATATGCTGAGCACCTCCTGTGAGCTACGGAGAGTCTTTAATTCCTACAGAAGTCAGTGGAAAGTGAGAGAGTTCAGCACCTGGCAGAATTCGGCTCTGTAGCCCAATTCAGCAGATCACCCTGTTCAGCAAAGTACTTAAGAATGCACTTAACTGTAAGTCTCTATGCATCCGAAGAAGTGAGGTTTTTACCCACGAAAGCTTACGCCCAAATAAAACTGTTAGTCTTTAAGGTGCCACCAGACTCCTTGTTGTTTTTGTAGATACAGACTAACACGGCTACCCCCTGATACTTAACTGTAAGTATGTGCTTAAGTTCTTTGCTGAGCAGGGAGGGAGTAAAGTACATGGTTAAATGCTTTGCTGAACTGGAGTGTGAATGAGGCAAGGGCTCAGAATACCACTATATAGTATCAATTACACAATTTCATCAGAAGCTAGAAATACGTTTTTTCAGTCTGCTCTTTAAAAGTTGATGTGGTCGCAAGCCATGACATTTGGGTCCAGTGTTCAATTTCCAGGGATTTGGATCTAGGGCTTTGTTTTGAGTTTGACCCCTCAATGAATAGGTGACTGATCACAGACTCTAGGTCTGGACTATATATATTTAATTGATATGAACATATTCCTAAGATTACTTTACCCTTTACAAGTCCTTCCTACATTCTTTTAATCTAGCTATAACAAATCTCTGGGTCAAATTATCCAACATTTTTTATGGAAAAACAAGAAGCCTAGAATTAGCATTAGTAAGTTAAAATTGCTCAAGGAAACAAGGCATCTTGTCCTTCCAGACTCTCATGGTGCAGCATCACTACATCTGATATAGGAACGGCAGAATATCTGTTCCAGTTAGCATGGCGCATGACTGAACAGAATGTGATTTCTCCTGAATACCTTAACCTCTTGTCTGAAACAAATTACTTGCCATTTTCTAAAATCAATCTGATTGAAGCCCTATCCCTGAAAAATAGCCATAAAATCTGCACGTTTCGAAATATAAAACACCTTTGATTGTCACACTTGTAGAATTCACTCAATTTCAGCCTGCAAACAAAAATAAAATATTAATTCCTACACCAGGAAAGATATTGTTCCCTCCTCATAATATTCTTGTGCCCTTCAATCAGCTGCACCAACACCATAATAAAGAAACAAAATGATTTTACATGTGCTGAATCTAGCTGTCGCTACCATTTCACACAACTGACATATTCAGTATAAAAACAGTCCAAAGCATTTTATTTCCCGATGTCACACAGTCCTACAGAATGCTGTAGACGAAAAATATCCTCCTATACCACACATCTGGAACTAAAACATGGGTAAGAAAATGTCACAGCCTGACGGTGCTAGAGCACTTGCTACCATTCATAAAACAATTTGTAAAAAATTCACACAAATGCAATGTTATATTCCACAGAGCCCACCCTCCCACCCTGTCTGTTGGCTGCTTTGTGTTACAACCCTCTTATATTTTTCCCTTGTGTGCTTTAGCTCGGTAACATTTTGGACAATTAATTGGTAGAGCTTGCCTTATTTTGGGCCCCATTCCTAGAATCACATGGGGGAACTCCTGTACCCACATTGAGCCCTACAGAAGTCACTGACAGCCACTGAATGTGTGGCTATCTAGTGCAAAATTCATGTCTGACACCTGGGAACTTTGAGCTAATAATTTAAGCTTATTAAGTTTACTTCTATCTACAACGCAAGTTTTTAAAGAACACATTTTACCAAATCAGACTCTCAGCCTTGCTGACTAGATTGGATCAATGCTCATTTCACAGAGTCAGAACTGTCTACAGTTCAACTCAACACATTGGTGCCGATTATATACAAACAGCTTCAAACTGAGACAAGCACATCAGACGTAGGTTGAAGATTTTCAAAAGTGACTAGTGATGTAGGTTGCCTCAGTTTTTGGTACTTAAATTGGAACATTTTAAAGAACCTGATTTTTAGAAAATACCAAGCACCTATCCTCTAAAAATCATTTAAAGTGTCCCAAGTTGGACACCCAACAGTCGCTAATCAGTTCTGAAAATCTTGGTCTCAGTATAGTCGTCTCCCCGATGTAAATGTATAACAACAATGAACCTTCTGTGTAATGGATTAACTATTTCACGGCTCTTAGACCTTCCTTCCTGATTCTTAAATATTATTTCTGTCTTTTGTAGTATGAATTATTAAACCAATGCATAAGAAGGTTTCAATCAGCTCATATATAGAGTGACCTAAATTATACCGAAGTAATTTGTAGTGTAGACATAGCCTCAGGCTTGAGGCTAAAGAACCATTTTCCTACCGCCTCAGCTGCGGAGTTCTGTGTTTTCTCCTCCTTGGATCAACCACCTTTGGGAAAGTCCCATTTCAGATGGGTAAGTCCACGGAGAAGCTGAAGATGTGGCCAGAGGATGGCAGTGTTGGCCACTCAAAGCAAAAAACAACAAGAAGCTAATGTTTCATGTTTCTGAAGAGTCAATGACCAACAGCAATATACAACAGTGCATATATTGGTTACATCCACCTTGATTTAGCCCAAGTGCAGGGAGATGTAGGTCATTCAGCAGCACAAATAAAGGATGGGACACTGCAGATCATAGAAATGAGTTCTCATTCAGAAATTCTATATCCCCTAGTGAATTCCCCTGTAGACTTCATTAGAATACTCCTCCTGGTCTCCCCTTATCCTTATAGTTCTTCTTCGAGTGCTTGCTCATGTCCATTCCATATTAAGTATGTGTGCTCGCCACCTGCACCGGTGCCAGAAGTTTTTCCCTTAGCAGTATCCGTAGGGGACCGGCTCGGGCGCCACATGGTGCACTATAAGGGGCGCCGCTGGCTGCCCCCACCGTCAGTTCCTTCTTGCTACCAGTGATGGTGCTGGAACTTCTGCTGCTTCGGCTAGCTTTCACTTAGTTCAGTGTGTCTCATGAACGTTTCTTTGTAAAATAGTTGTATATAGTTTAGTATTTACCCTTAGTATTAGTTCTAGTTAGTTGGTCCCGGATGGGACTCAGCCTAGGATCCATCTGTCCTGCTGTTCTCCAACTGCCTTTCTTTTTTCCTCCCTGCATGGACAGCTATAACTTTAGACCACTGTGTCCTCAATACTGTGGTGGAGAGTTATACCCTACAGTTTACTTCCTGCCTCACCCCCACCCCCCAACTCCCTTTCCCCATCCCTCTTCAGGGACCCTTCTCACGAGAGTCTCCTCGCACAGGAGGTAAAGGGGTTGCTACAATTGGGTGCGGTGGAAGAAGTTCCTCTCGAGTACAGGAACAAGGGGTTCTATTCCTCGTACTTCTTAATCCCAAAGGCCAAGGGTAGTTTGTGGCCCATCCTGGACCTGAGGGACCGCAACATGTATCTAAAGAAGCTCAAGTTCTTCATGGTCTCCTTGGCTTCTATCATCCCCTCCCTGAACCTGGGAGACTGGTATGCCACCCTCGACCAGGCCTCAGGTCCAAGAGGATGTCACGGTGCTGCAAGCCAGGTGCCACTCCCTGGCCTTCTGGTGAACGACAAAAAGTCTACGTTCCGGTGCAAAGGATAGAGTTCATTGGAGCAGTGCTCGACTCGACCTGTGCCAGAGCGTTCCTGCCACTAGAAAGGTTCCGGACGTCGATGGACCTCATTGCGCAGGTCTCCACGTTCCCCCTGACTACAGCCAGGGTCTGCCTGCACCTGCTGGGTCACATGGCAGCATGTACATACGTTGTCCACCATGCCAGGCTCCGGATGCAGCCCCTGCAGCAATGGCTGGCAATGGTCTATTCCCAGTCCAGAGATCACCTGGACAAGGTCGTTACCATTCCCCCGACGGTACTCGCCTCACTGTGATGGTGGACCGATTGCACGACCGTCCTAGAGGGGGTTCCATTTGACACCCCCCCATCACGCCATCAAATTGGTATTGGACGCCTCAGACTTCGGCTGGGGCGCGCACCTCGGCAACCTCCAGACCCAGGGTATGTGATCCCCAGAGAAGATGACATTACACATAAACGTCAAAGAACTCAGGGTGGTCCGCTTGGCATGCGGAGTCTTCCTACCTCACCTGTCGGGTAAGATGGTGAGAGTCCTGACAGACAACACGGCATCGATGTTCTACATCAACAGGCAAGGGGGAGCACGTTCGTCGACTCTCTGCCAAAAGGCACTCCGTCTCTGGGACTTCTGCATCAGCCACGAAATCCATCTGGAAGCTTGTCATTTCCCTGGCGTCAAGAACATGCTAGCGGATCACCTCAACAGGGACTTCTCCTCTCACCACGAGTGGTCGCTCCACCCGAAGGTAGCCTGCATGATCTTCCAGAGGTGGGGAACTCTCCAGGTAGACCTGTTCGCCACAAGGCTAAACAGGAATTGCCACCGGTTTTGTTCGTGGCAAGGCCTGGGCAAGGACTCCCTCTCTGATGCCTTCCTCCTGTCATGGTCAGGGAACCTGATGTACGCATTCCCTCCGATTCCTCTCATCAGCAGGGTCCTGGCAAAGATCAAGAGAGACACGGCACAAGCTATTATGATCACCCAGGTGTGGCCCCGCTAGCACTGGTTCAGCACACCCATGAACCTGGCAGCGGCCCTCCATGGCCCCTGCCCAACCGACCAGACTTGCTGTCACAGGACCACAGTCGGCTCCTGCACCCCAACCTCATGTCCCTCTACCTCTCGGCATGGATGCTGCGTGGCTGAAACCGGAGGAGCGGACCTGCTCAGATGAGGTCCAACAGGTCCTCCTGAGAAGCAGGAATACCTCAACCAGACTGACTTACCTGGCCAAGTGGACAAGGTTTTTCTACTGGGCGTCCAAGCACGGCACCTTTCCCGCGCGCTCTTCCATACAGTCTATCTTAGACTACTTGCTTCATCTGAGAAACCAGGGCCTGGCACACGCTTCCATTAGAGTGCATCTCATGGCCATCTCCAGTTTTCACCCACCGATCCAGGGCCAGAAAGTGTTTTCTCATGACATGATGGTCAGATTCTTGAGAGGCCTCAAGAGACTCTTCCCACAGGTATGGACTCCTGTCCCACAGTAGAATCTTAACTTGGTCGTCTCTAGGCTCACGGGCCCGCCCTTTGAGCCGCTGGGTTCCTGCTCCCTTTCCCACCTGTCATGGAAGGTTGTGTTCCTGGTGGCAGTGACATCGGCAAGACAGGTCTCTGAAATTAAAGCCTTGACTTCAGGACCTCCATACCCGGTCTTCTACAAAGATAAGGTTCAGTTGTGGCCCCACCCGGCCTTCCTGCCGAAGGTGGTCTCCATCTTCCATATGAACCAGGACATCTTCCTCCCAGTGTTCTGTCCCAAACCTCACAAGACCAGTGAGAAGATGCGTCTTCACTCCCTGGACATCCGGAGGGCCTTGGCTTTCTACTTAGAACCTACCAAACCTTTCTGAAAATCGACTAAACTCTTCATCACTACAGTGGATGAAGGGTCACCCGCTGTCCTCGAAGAGGATTTCCAGTTGGTTCATCTCATGCATGAGGACCTGTTACAACCTGGCGGGGGTTCCACCGCCGCTGATTGTCAGAGCCTACTCGACAAGAGCGCAAGTGTCTTCGGTGGCCTTCCTGGTGCACATCCCTATCCAGGATATCTGTAGAGCGGCAACATGGTCCTTTGTTCACACGTTTACCTCTCATTATGCCATCACTGAGCAGGCCAGAGACGACGCTGGGTTTGGCAGAGCTGTGTTGCAATCTACATGTCCGTGAACTCTTACCCACCTCCAGGGGTAGTGCTTGGGAGTCACCTAATATGGAATGGACATGAGCAAGCACTCAAAGAAGAAAAGACAGTTACTATTTCCATAACTGGTATTCTTTGAGATGTGTTGCTCATGTCCATTCCACAACCCACCCTCCTTCCCCACTGTTGGAGTTTCCAGCAAGAAGGAACTGAGGGTGGGGGAAGCCGGTGGTGTTCCTTGTACTGCACCATGCAGGTGCCACTCCAGAAAGCGCCAGAGCCGGTCCCCTACGGATACTGCTAAGGGGAAAACTTCTGGCATCAGTGCATGTGGCGAGCACACACACCTAATATGGAATGGACATGAGCAACACATCTCAAAGAACACCAGTTACGGAAAAGGTAACTGTCTTTTTTTCTTGGTTTCTGCTGGTGCACCAGGAGTTCCATGGAGATCAGTAGACCCATAGTTCGAGTCCAACATCAGTTGGAACCAGATGAAAAATGAAAACTAGAATTTCTGAGAGGGTCTATGATACAGAACGATGGCAGACCCTGTTGATTTTTCCTAATCCTCTTAACTATCCAGCAGCATATAGTTCCATGAGGAGTCTCTTGTATGGGCTTAGGCCTTCAATCTACTCCTCTTGATGGACATCAATGATAGTGTTGACATTAACATCAATGGGAACAGGAGTGTGTCCTTAAAGGGCTTGTCTACACGTACAGCGCTACAGTAACAACTCTGCAGATGTGTCGCTGTAGTTCTTTAGTGTAAACTCTACCTACGTTGATGGGAGGGATTCTCCTGTCAGCATAGGTAATTCACCTCCCCAAGAGGCAGTAGCTAGGTCAACAGAAGAATTCTTTCATTGACCTAATGCTGTTTACATGGGGACATAGGTCATTTTAGCTACCGACCTAATTTTCTAGTGTAGACCAGCCCAGAATCTTGTTGCCATTTTCAGTGCAGCAGTCACAAATCATCAGCATAAGCCGATAGGACAGCGGATCTCAAACTTTAGCAACCCGAGGACCCCCATTTTGATTTAAATTTTTTCACGGACCCCCAAGCTCCCCATTCAGCCCCAGGCCCCGCTCCCACTCCACCCCTTCCCCAAGGTCCCACCCCTGCCCTACCTCTTCCCGCTCCCACGCCACCCCTAAACCTCCTCTTCCCTGCCTCTTTCTGCCCCCTTCCCCGAGCACGCCCCGTCCCTGCTCCTCCCCCTCCCTCCCAGTGCCTCCTGCATGCCGCTGAACAGCTGTTCCCCGGTGTTCAGGAGACGCTGGGATGGGGAGGGAGAGAGGGCAGGGGAGGAATTGATCAGTGGGGTCCGTGGACCCTCTGGAGTAAGGACCCCAGTTTGAGAAACGCTGCACTAGGACAATGTTAGCACCTCTTGAAAGAGGACAATCTACTGTATGCCTTGGCCAAGTAAGGGTGTTAACTAGAGGGAACAGGATTTGCAGTAACTACATACCTTTTATGCCTCCTTCAGTTTGATGTCAGTATAATTGGTTTTAAATTTTTGATGAGATGGCAAACATCAAAGGAAAGTCATTTTGATGTACTCTAGTGACTATAGGAAAGTTACCAAATATAAAATGGTTTATAGGATATCGCTGTAAACTTAGCACATTAGACTGAGGATTCAAACCAAATTACGTCTCTTGTATAAAGCAGCCATGCTCAGGACGTAAAATTTAACAATCTGGATATTTTCCTCTCATTTTCCTGGCTGTATTTTACTCACCGCCCAGATCTTCTCCAGCTGTTCCAGAGTACCAGTAACTGCTGGGAACATGGGTTGACCCTGGAGCATTTCAACCAATATACAGCCTGCACTCCTGCAAAAAAGAAAATACCAACTCATTTAAGTAAGCGGCATGTACAGTATATATATATAGGTAAAAAAAGTCTATCCTCCAGCATCTTGGCCTAGATGTTAATGTAACTCTGAGTAGAGTGGTAGATAGTATTGTAGACATGGTCCCTGGCACTTACACAGTGATACAGATAGGGCTTTTTTTCTGGCTTTTGGCCACTGATCTGTCACACCACACCAGAGAAAGCACAGAAGGCATTGTGCATTCAGAGAGTTTTCCTGCAGAAATAATTAATTCCTCACTGCAAAATTGAACCCCAAACAACTAAACATAAACAACTTTCCAATGAGCATTCAACCTAATTTATTTAAATGTGTATGTGTGATGAGCTGTCTTGGTTCTTACTTTTTCTAAAACTATTCTCCTTAGTTTCTGATGCTGCATTTTTTAGTTACCATTCCCTGTCAACTCAGTACTTTTTACTCTCTCTCTAAACTAAGGCTTTGTCTACACTGAACTTTCATCGGTAAAACTTTTGTCGTACAGGGTTGTGAAAAAAAAAACCACCTCTGAACGACAAAAATGTTACCAACGAAAAGCACCGGTGTGAACAGTGCTTTGTTGGCAGGAGAGCACTGTTATTCAACAGCCGTGGTTTAACTGACCATGGTTATAATTGACTTCACTTCTAGCTAATGGCATGCCACACAGGGGGAGTAGTGGTGGAAAGAATTAATATTTCCATTCTTTGCGCTGTTAGATGCATCTGACCTTACTTTAAAACTAGCACAGCTATTTTAGAGCCATGGCCAATGTCAGTTGCACTATTTTCAGAGGAATAGCCCTTCAAACTAGGCAGTTCAGGTGTCCTTGGGACATTAGGGAAGATGGAGAAGTTCAGAAATGTCTCCACTGAAGCAGTAGGGCAACCTGTGAGTCTGCAGCTTGCATGGACTGTCTGGTGTTTTGAGTACCACTGCTCTTTCCTGGCTCTGATGTCTGAAATACATAGGTAAGTATATGAGGTTGTGTTGCCCTCTACTGCTTGGCCCAGACAGGATATAAATTCTCATATTACTGCTACTACTGCTAACGGAGATACTCTTTTTCCTCATATAGCAGGGGCATAAGGACTGATTGCCCACTCACTTACAGACTGCCACCGATGTAATCCACTGATTTCGTTGTATTAGTGTAACTCCATCAAATCCAGTGGAGCAGAGAAATTTGAAGCAGGAGTGAGAAGAAGGTCGTATCTTGAATTTAGGGTCTTGATCCCCAACAAATGACTTCACAGGGGTTCCAGGTCTGCATGAATCTGCCCTGGGTGTAATATTCCTGTAAGATTATATCGGGCTCTTGTGGGGGCGGGGTTGACTGCAAATAAGATATACAGACAAACTGGCAGTACTCATGAAACCAGCAGCTGCTGAAAGCCAACTCTCTGCATGCATAAAGAATTTTGTGTTTAAAAAAAAATTTCCCTGATGTTCAGTGTAATCTTCCCAAAACATTCTGTTAGTCTCCCTAAAGTCCCTTAATTGAATCTTCTAAGGTCTCGGAAAGATAGTGAGGGAGAAAGAGAGCAAGAGAAAGGATAGTAAGAGATTAAAGACGCTGTGCAAGTTAGTCCAAGAGCTACTGAGCCTCCTTCTATATCTCTCTTAATCTATTCAAGGCCCTATTCACTTTCCATGTGCCTCCCACTGACAGTATTGCCGCTCACGCGCATTATGGATGAATTGCCATCATGTTTTATTTTTTATAATTGGTTCCTTTAAACCAAGGCTATTACACTCACTGTCACATGCCATTGCCAAGGGCACTCTGACCCGACTTCATGTAAATTGCCATGTTCGAAAGAAGAGGATTTTTTTCTTTTTTTCCCAATAAACAAGTAACATCTGTGTGAATGGACTTTTTTTCCTAATAGATAAAAATTGAACTTATATAGAGCCTACATGCAGATAATAAATGACTCTTGTTAGAGGAAGTCAGTGAATAGAGTTCACATACTTTCCATTCTCTCAGCATGAGGTCTTTCTGAAAGGCAAACACTTTGAATGCTATTATTAGGAGGAGGTGTTATAACAAAGGTGCTATACTGGAATGTAGTGGAGTGGGGCTCAAAGTCCCTTATGCTGTGCTATTGGTGACAGAGAGTGCTGGATGAAATCTTTATAGTCAAGCCCCTGTGTCCTATGTGGTACATTAGGGCAAAATTATGCAACAGAGATCCCAGCTTTGTACAGCAGGAACTCCAGGTTTATATATTTAGGGGATGATCAGGCCCATGGACTGGCCTCGAGTCAGTGAGGAGCAGGAGGGCAGGTACCAGGAGGTGTCTGCCTAGTACACCAGTGGCGCCGGAACCGGGGGGGAACCAAGGGGGCCATAGCCCTCCCACTTTTTGCTGGGGTGGACCCCGCCCCATCCCCTCCTCTTCCCCTCAAGGCTCCGCCCCCCAGCTAGGCCAGTGTGGAGCCCGGCCGGGCAGCCCGGGCATTTGTGGAAGCCATGCGGACCTCCATCTGCCTGTGGTGTGTGTGTGGGGGGGGCTGAGAGCAGCCCCGTCCCATGTCCCCACCCCCGGGCTCCCTGTCTGGCCCAGGGCAGGTGGAGGGGGGCAGGGGTGGGGCCCGCTGCTCCCCTACTTTTGGGAAGGCTCTGACACCCTTGAGTACAACTGCATGTTCCACTAGGCAGGCAGGCATCTTCTTCAACAGTCCATGAGTGGCTGTAGGTGGCTTAGCCTGGGGAGGAGGTAATGGACTGGTGGCTGCTTAGAGAGAGGCGGGGGAGGACATTACAATTTAGATCTGCCCAGCAGCTGAGAGCCATTATAATGGAGAAACAGGTTATTTTAGTCATTGAAAATTTGATGCAATTAAAGTGGCTGTAGCCTTGGAGAGAGGAAGAGACTTTGCGCTCCCATTCCCCTGCTCTGCCCTCTAGACCCAAGCCACCAGAACTTCTGATAAGCCTCATGCCTCTGGAGAAGATGCCTGCCTTGTGGCGCTAGAGTTCTGCTGGGCACGCACCTGCTAACGCAAGTCTCCCTGTGCTTCTTGCAGATTTTGTCAGTCTATTAGGCGCCTGCCCAGTCCCCCAGACCCTAATGAGGTCTTTGTCCTTGCAGAGCTGTTGAGCTCTGGAAAGACAGGCTAAACGTCAGGCACAGAAGCAGTCATAGCAGAATGATGGAGTTACAAGATATTAACTGGCACTTGAGGAAGGAGTGAAATTGAGCAGTAGTTTACTCTGCTGTGTAATTGTATAGAACATGGGGCTTTGCCTATTTTAACTGTGGAGTGTGTTTAGGAAATGATCAGTGGTATAAAAGATGAGGTATCACAGAAATAAAGATAATCCCAATATCCTTCTAACTCCAAACCCATCTAGGACTCTTTGATGGCCAGAGCTGTGTTTTGTTATCAAAGGTCAAATTTATTCTTGGCGTAATTCTTCTAGTTATTATGCCTCCAGAAAGCAGTATTTCCAGAATGATACCACAGCCTCGGCCAGTCAGATACCTCCAGAATAATACACGTTTGCATTAGATTTGAAAGTGCTTTGCAAAGGTTAGTGAACTGAGACTCATGACACCTCTGGGAGGTATATAGGTGAGATATGAGGATGGCATTCCTGAAAGCAGAGCTACTGATGTTTGCCACTTGTAGGAACCCAACAGTATAAGCACAGCACCTTCACGACTCACAGGCCTTGACACATCTTTCAGTCTATCTTTGCTCAAACTTGGCTGACTCCGTTTCAGTCATCTAAAGATAAGGCAAATGATAGTTCAGTTTCCCTGAGAGATATCAAAATGTGTCAAAGTTGGTTTCTCACCAGATATCCAAATCAGAAGAATAATCAGTGGCTCCGAGTAGCACATCAGGAGGACGGTACCAGAGCGTCACCACCTCAGAGGAGTATGTCTGACTGGGGATGGACTTGGCACGAGCAAGACCTGCCAGAACAGGAAAAACATGGATCTAGTTACACTTCCATGTCCCTTTGTAACTCATTGTGACATACCATTTCCTTCTGCCTGGACAGTACCTGAGTCTTAATAATCAGAAGAACAGTTTACTTTTCTGTAGCATTTTTCATCCTAAGTGATCCCAAAGCACTTTACAATCAACATATACATACCAAGTATGTAGAATACAACCTGCTGCATTCTGTAAAACAGTGAGGAGGAAAAAGGGATGTTTTGACTGAGGACACTGGGCAAAGCCCTGCTCTTAAAAAAAGTGCCACCAGTTTTTATACAAAGCAGACGGACCTTGGCTTCTAAGGTCTCTACTTATACTTAGTTTTCTGGTACTTAATTTATCTCTTTCAGAAGAATGGAGAGAGCATGCAGTTTAAAGATATGTACGACATATATTTAAAAAATGTTTTGGAATTTGTCTGAAATATCCAGTTTCAGCAGATACGCTGATTTGTGTGTATATAATATTTACATACATTTTATATATACACAAAATTTATAGCCATGGGATAAATTGCATTTATCTTCCACCTTTTCAGTGTTTCTAAGGCCAGGTCTACACTACCGCGGTAGTTCGACGGCTGGCAATCGAACTTCCGGGTTTGATTTATCGCGTCTGGTCTGGACGCGATAAGTCGAACCAGGAAGTGCTCGCCGTCGACTGCGGTACTCCACCTCAGCAAGAGGAGTACTGCGGAGTCGACGGGGGAGCCTGCCTGCCGCGTGTGGACCGCGTCTGAACCGCGGTAAATTCGAACTAAGGTATGTCGACTTCAGCTACGTTATTCACGTAGCTGAAGTTGCGTACCTTAGATCGAATTGGGGTGTTAGTGTAGACCAGGCCTAAGGCACTTAGCCCACTGATTCAAACCGCGTGAGACAACTATGGGCATTGCAAACCTCTGAGCAGCTTCAGACAGCTACCATTTTAGAATGAACAAACACCTTCAGAATGTTTCTTTCCTTCCTGCAAAATGTGACATTCTCTCCCCACTCCTCAAAATGATACGGATCCAAAGCGCAGGATGTCCCAGAGTCAGTCCTAGATCATGGCGTATTAAGATAGAAAGGCAGATCCTCAGGTGGTGTAAAAATTGTCATAGTTCCATCCATGGACTTCTATGGAGCTATGACCATTGACACCAGCTGGTAGGGTGGCTAGCCCTCCAGGATTGTCCTGCAGTCCCCAGGAATTAAAGATTAATTTTTAATTAAAGATTATGTCATGTGATGAAACCTCCAGGAATACATCCACTCAAAAGTGGCAACTCTACCAGCTGAGGATCTGTCCCAAAATATGGTGAGACTCATCAGGGCTGGAAAAAGGAAGCTTTATACCACTGGAGAGCTGAGAATCCCTCCTTCCCACAGCTCTGAAGCATTTGGCCTGAATTCTCAGTTATTCTAAGGCCCTTTGACACTGCTGTAGCTTGGCCCTTAAAGTGGGTGTAACTGTCAGAGAGGTTTAAAGGGGCCTTTGCGTAAGGGAGAATTCAAGGCCTTTGTTTGTAGCCCTGTTAGATCACAAATTATCAGACCTTAAAATCAAGACGTTATGATTTTTATACAAATTATTTTAAAGGTTTCTGGAAGTTTAGTTACATTTTTTCTCTCTACAAGGTCCGTATCATTGGCTGTATGGGGCTGAGGCGAACTGGCTTTACAGAGAGGAAGGGTAACAGAAATGCTGCCAAGTAAAAAAAAGTAAATTGCAAAAATTTCTAACATAATTTTGTCCTGTAAAATGTGGCATATGCAGAATACGTGATGGTGTGGAAGGAAGGTTTCATTAGCACACATTTGGGATGACCTGTATAATTCAGTTTTGGCAAAGCCAGTTCATGCCAATAAAATCTCTACCCTTCCCTACATAATCATCTATTCTGTATGCCACATATTTAATGTAGGGGTCTGATTCTCATCTCTCTGGAATGAGTCCTATACTACTGTAATTGCACTGTTTTAAATAAAGTTACTTTCAGTGTATACCAGTATAAGGAGAGGAGGATCAGGTCTACAGATTGATCACAGAAATGCTTTTCTTGAAGTGCAGTGAGAGAGGTTATGCTCACGTACCCATTGGTGGCTTTAGATGCATAAATGTAAGTATGTGAAAACTTAGATGCACTAGTTGTACCTGGGCAGTGACTCACCAAAGTCAGCTAATTTGAGCTCGCCCAGGCAACTGACGAGCAAGTTCTGGGGTTTCAGATCACGATGAAGAATGTGTTGTTGGTGGATGTAAGCCAGGCCTCGCAAAAGTTGGAACATGAAAAGCTAGAAAAAACAGGCAACAAACTTAAGCAGATGTCTGGGATTTTGAATCAGTATATTAACTCTGAATGTCAGGAAAACCTTTACAATGAAACAGTGCAAAAGGGAGGGAAGAATCAGTAAAAAACTTTGTCAACTTGTTCAGCAATGGCACAGGCTGAGAAGGGGGACTGAAAAATTGCAACAATAAAAATTATGGAATCTTTGATAGTTACATCAACTGATGGTTATATGCTTCCTCCCACTCTCCCTGATGCTTTCAGTGTGTTATACTGTGGCAGTGAAGGGGCTGTCACTCTTCATATCCTAAATGGGCATTTCAAAAGCTTTGCTTCCCTTTAGAATCTGACTGTTTATTTTAGGAGCAAAGATGATGTAAGGCTTCCCAAAGCACAGACTCAGCATCTGCAATGTCAGACGGCCTGGTATTGGTGTAAATCACTGAGGGAGACACCAGAGAGGAAAAATGAAGGCAGAGGAGGAAAAACAACAGAAGAAAAGAGGGAGAAGGAGAAGAAAGAAGATACAGAAGGGAAAAATAAAGACAGAGGCCCTGATTCTCACTACTCTGGCAGCGTAAAGTGATCCTAAAATAAACGAGAATCAGGCCCAGAACAGGATCTGAAAAGGCATGAAGGATAGAAAACAATTCATTGCATAAGTTATTAGCCTTCTCCAGAGGGGAAACACTTTTTATCTGAGACCTTTCCTGGAGACTAGGAAAAAAGGTGACATTCATGGTTAGCTTTTCTACTGGAAAAGAGGCAAACAAAAATCAGATATATAATCATATTTTGCATTTTTATAGCATCTTCCATGTGAGATCTCAAAAATTGCTTTGCAAGGATGAAAGAAACGAGCCATATGACACCCTCCTGCAGGCTCATAGTAAATCACTTTGCTGTTTTCCAGTCTTCTTGTCAATGAGGAACGAAAACATCTAAGGAGGGCAGCTGGCTGGTGTTTACTGATGCAAGTGCCAGTCAGGACACGTTACAGTTTTGTTTTTGTTTTTTAACAAGCCTTCCTGGTGGCATAGCACTTGTGCGATGCACCAACCCATCGTTTCTTGGAAGTGGAGACACTGAGCAGCTCCATCTTCAGGGGCAAGTGACTGTTGCCCACACGCTTCTGAGATCTCCCTTGTCAGTCAAGGCTGGCATTAATTTTGGAATTATAATGGGCGAGGGCTGAGCTCCACAAGCACAGCTACCTTAGGAATTCCATTCCAATTAATTTAGGTTTCCATTCTGAATTGTAATCTTAATTAAAAAATATTAGAATAGGAGCCGTTTGCTCATGCAGTGCTCTACAGGAGAGTAGAAACTGCAGGATATGAACCTGCTTTTCCTACATTATTTTACTATACACTAAAAAATCTTCTTCTTTTTTAACAACCTAAGAGCTGAATTTTGGTCCCATTACAGTTAGTGGCAAAACTCCTCTTTAGTTAATGGAACCAGAATTCAACCTTAAACATTTTTGATATTCTGCAATGTTTCTGATATTTAACTTTTATGTTACAGTCATCCTAAGATGCCCTGACCAGGATCAGAGAATCATTGCGCTAGGTGCTATATAAATGTAGGGGCAGATGTGGTCTTTGCTCCAGAGAACTTGCAACCTGCCATTTTGTTTTAGAATATTAATGTAACGAAGATTTTGTTAAAAGTAGAACTGTGCCAAAACCAAAACACTGGATCTTGGACATCTCTGAACTTTGAGAGTGTTTGAAATCTGAACAAGGATTCAGATAAGTCCTTATTTTTAAGCAAGGCAAAAGATTTAGAGGGGGTTGACCATCAGAAAGGGTGTAATTTAATAACTTTATTAACGATCTGGGAAAATGGGCGACCAGTAAAGTGGCAAAATCTGCAGATGACAGAATTATTTAAATTAGTCAAGATGGGAGAAGACTTTGAGGAACTTCAGAGGGGCCTAATAAAGCTAGGAGAGCATGACAAATGAAATTCATTGTTCACAGATGTAAGATGGGGCACACTGGGAGGAGTTGTTTGAATTATGCATAAATGCTGGGTTCTGAATTAACTGAAACTACTCAGGAAAAAAGACCTGGGCGTTCATTGTGGACGTCTCAATGGAAACCGCTTCTCAGTGTGCAGTGGAGGTCAAAAAAAGAAATCAAAATGTGAGGATGTGTAAGAAATGGGATAAAAGATACAGAAAATATTACAATGCGTTCTATAAATTAATGGTACACCCTCACCCTGTTCGCTTGTAGTCAACCTACCTCAGAAAGCTATAGCAGAAATAAAAGGGATCTAGAAAGCTTAGAGCCATGAAGATATTAGGAGAGGCAAATGGTTGAGTTTTGAGAAGAGACCAGTGAGTGGGGAGATGATAAAGTAATGAATTAAATAGAGATGGAACTCATTGCCACAAGATGTCATTGAGGCCAAAAGCTGAAATCCTTCTTGAACAGTCAGAAAACTGGAGGGAGGACTTTTTCAGTCTTCAATTGAAGAGTGAGTAGGGTTGAATCTTTAACAACTAGATATTTTCTCCCAACTGTTTGTCAGGTATTTGAGATAAATAGATATTAGCAAAAGATTTAAGATGTTTTAAGCACCGCAGCATTTTACAATGACTCTCCATAATGGAATATAAACATACATTTCATGCTTTAAGGGATACTTGCCCCTTAAAGAACTCACCATGACATTGTGAGCATGAAGTCCTCCAGGATGCTGGGCCATATACTGTGCCAGATCTGTGTGCTAAATAAGTGTGGAGAGGAGAAAGAAAGAAGACTTAGGACAAATCTGCAGGGGAATCAATTCTATTGAAGACTGACTAGGATCACACTTGAAGTCAAATCCACAGGTCTCTTCGCCAGTGGTACAACATACATATAATGACAGTGACCCTTTTGTGACTGAAGTGTAGTATACAACACAGGCTGCAAAGTTGTATTTTTTTCACCCTGGAAAGAAACACTTCACTTAAGCCTTGATCCAGCATAGCACTTAAGCACGTCCTTAAAGTTAAGCACATGCTTAAGTGGTACGTGAAATCAGGGCCCTGATCAGCATGTTGGCTCATCCTAACAGTTTAAGTAAGACCAGGGGCTGCTAGTTGTCAGAATTCATCATAAAATTGCAAATAGAGGAAACCATGGCTCAAGTATTTTCCTGCTTGCTGAGGGGGTCTTTTTGTTGATTTTTACCAAAACAGATGCTGAAATTAGGGAGCTTGTTGACTGAGATCAATAGTAAGAGAAACTGTGGCTCAACAGCACTGTTTTCATCACTTTTTCCTGGTAGCAATGAAGGAAGTCAGTTTCTGCCAGTGTAGTGTAAATAAGATGGGAGACCCTTCTTGAACGTGGCTCTCACTAAAGGGGGAAAGGAAGCAGGAAGAGCCAAGGCCATATAGATTGAAGTCAGATATCGAGAGTGAAAGAAATAATCACCGTAATGAAATTGTTCGTAACACCTTCCCTTTATAATGCTATGAAATATGAACATTCATTATACTATCAACAGGTCTCTTCTCGATGCTTCATAAAACTAGCAAAAGAGCAGCTCACCATGTATTCGAAGACAAATGTCAGCGTGTCCTTTGTCTGGATAATGTCGTGCAGGAGCACAATATTGGCATGTTTCAGACTCTTGAGAAGAGAAGCTAGTGAAACAGAAATGAAGCTATGATCCCAAGAGCTGCTTTTGGCAGTGGAAGTAGCATATTTATGGCTTGGGTTATACATGGCTCCACCAATCAGGCTGTCTGGAAAAAGCGCTGGGCAGATACTGTGAAGCCGAGGGAGGGAGTTACATGTAAACTATGCCCTCATGCACCAGTCTGGCCCCTTGTGTACTGCAAGGGGGATTTCACCCTAAAGGAGGGCTGGCAACATTGTCACCACTTGTCCTCTCTCATGGTTTCTGAGAAGATTCGCTGATTCAGCACATGCTGTGACTTCCCAGGCTGCACATGGGAGGTGCCACCCAATTTTGGGGCAAGGTTGACTTTGTGCAGAAGAGGGTTTGGAGTCACTTTCCAGAAGTGCAATATCAGGGAGTCTGTGCTGATATTTATGCCAGTTTAAACTGGTTTAGATGTTAGGCAGGATTTAGCCAGTTTCTGTTTTTGAAAAGCCTATTGGTTAATTCTCACACCTTAATGCTCCATTGAACTGTTCTCTGAGTGCCAAGAGTGCAGTTATTAAGTTAACAGTATCTCAACTGCATTTATATAACGTATATAACTTCAGAGCCACTGCAAGTATACAGCCCCCTAGACTCAACTCTCCCCCGTGGGCATGCTTTAGCATTTCTCACACTAGGGATGGGCTCTAGCTGACAATCTCATGAAGGAAACTTCCCAACAGAATGTCTCTAAAATTTTGAATGGACATTCATTGCTAGAGCGATTAGTATTTATTGCTTGCAATACAGTCCAGGGACCCCAATCAGGATCAGGGTCCCATTGTGGTAGGCGCTGTACACACACATATTAACAAGCAATCTCTGCTTTAAAAAGAGCATTGACTCAACCAACAGATTCACAAGCCACATGTGCATTCCAATTTAGGGGAGGCATCACATGATGTCCTGACTAGAGCTGGACAAAAGTTTGCAGAAAAACCCTTTTTTGCTGAAAAATGCAGATTTGGGTTGACTGATTGAAACATTTCATGAATTTGTGTTGAATTCACCAAATTGTTTACATAAAAAAAAAATAAAACAAGTTGAAACATTTTTGAAATAAAACATTTATATTTTTATTTGAAACAACTTTTTGATTCGAATTTTACTTCAGTTTTATTTTTTTAAAAGGTAAACAACCCCATAAATGTTTTGTTCAAACCTAAACAATTTTATTTTATTTGTATACTTTTTGGGTTTGCCGAAAAATTAAAAAAAAAAATTCATTTCAGCTTGAACTGAAATTAAATATATTTTTGATTTTTTTGATTCGGCCGCTGAACCAAAAAGTTAGTTATGCACAGCTCTCATCCTGACACTGCGGTGGTTAGCCCCAGGGATAAAAATACCAATTTAAAATGAAACACAGACAGATTAAATCTTTGTTTGTAGCCAACTTAGGTAAGTGAAAATGTTTCGTTCATGGTTGTAGTTCTTCCTGTAACTTGTGCTGATGACTGCATTACTTACTATTATAAAACAAGCTTGTTACACTCATCTTTGTAATCTGAGGTCTAGATTGCCTGGTCACAGCAGAGACGGGCTGGCAGGAAGAGATTGTAAAAAGTCTCAGCACTTTGTGCCTTGCTTAGGGGATATAGTCCCAATCAGGGTACGTCTACATTGCAATAAAAACCTGCGGCTGGCCTGTGCCAGCTGACTTGGGCTAAGGGACTGTTTAACTGCGGTGTAGATGTCTGGCTCGGGCTGGAGCCTGGGCTCTAGGACCCTGCGAGCTGGGAGGGTCCCGGAGCTCAGACTGCGGGCCTTGGTCAAATGTCTGCACTGCTATTAAACAGCTCCTTAGCCTGAGCCCTGTGACCCAAGTCAGCTGGCACAGGCCAGCCACAGGTTTGTAATTGCAGTGTAATTGCTCTGCCTCAGGCTTGAGACAATAATAGCTTTCCCAATGGAGAGGGAGGAGAAAGGATGTAGCAGAGGCTGCTGACCCTCAGATCCCTGGTGCTCCAGAGATTTTGAGTCCAATTCTTGCACTCAATCAAATTGTGCTCAGTCCAGGACACCAGGAGGTTGGTAAAAGCGGCCTTTTGAGACTCCCTGAGTCCAAGGCTATCCAGGGCAGGGTTAGTCAAGCCCTTGACATAAGAGAGCAGCCTCAGGGCTCCTCTAAAAATTATATCTGGCTGCCTATAGACCGAATAAAGATGCTTCAGCCATATCCCTTATGCCGTGGAGGGGAGAGACATAATGCAACTACACTGGCTTTATGCTACCCAGAGATTCCTCTATCATGGAGGAATTCCCAGCTGGCCAGATCCTGTGGATTTCCCGCCCTTTTGTACCAGTGGAGCAGCACAAAGGATCTGTAGTGAAATGAAGAATCAAGACTATTGTGTCCTGAGTTGGACATAGTGCCTCTTAGAGGTCTCAGTGCTCTTCAGCTGGTGCATCTCAGCATCCCTCAACCATAGCATTACAGCCATTATTGAGCCTTAAGTATGTTTAATCCTTTTGAGGCTCTCTGAGATAAATTACCCCTTTGGCTGTTAAGTGTTTAGTGCCACTCCTTCAAAGTAACATAGAGTGCAACATGTTAATAAATCTAAAGCTTTGTTTAATGACACTTGAACTATTGACTTACATTGTAAATTTAAGATGTCAGATGTCACAAAGCTCAACACAGCACAAAAGAACTATTTAAAATAGACCCGTCTTAGGAACTTTCTAGTTTTATCTGAGTGAATGGAAGTTAAAGGCTCTTGGCATTTCAATTAAGGCACCTCAATTAAGCAGCTCACCCTAAAATTAGGGCAACCTGATCTTTTGAGCAAAGAACTAGCACCAGAGTTCTAAGCAGGTAAATGTTGGAGGGATTCTCTTCTAAAGCGTATTGTACTGGTAGGTTCTTGTGGTAAGTAGATCAGCAAATGGTCCTACTTTGAGTGTCAGTGGCCCTATAAGATGAGCTTCCCTGCAAATAGGTACAGGTCAGTATCCCTCTTTGCTTTCACCCAGAATTGGGGTAAAGTGTCCACACCAATTCTGATCTTGTTTACATTGGTGTAAACCTGAAGCAGCTCCACTGACTTCTCTGCAGCTACTCTGGATTTAGACTGGTGTAACTGAGATCAGAGTTTGGACCTCCTTCTCTGTTCTAGGGTTGTCCTATGAATGTGGGCCATCTGGTCTCCCCCTGCATACCACTAATGGTATGGCAAAATCAACCCCAGCTTTGAAGTGCAATACTCAGTGGAACTATAAAACTAGAGTGTCATGACCCCTCCATTTATAGATCTTACTTATATTAGACAACAGACTGGCAGAAAGGTTACATATTTCTACTTCTATTCTCCTCAGTGTAAAAAAGGAACTGGATTATATTTCCTTTGGGATCTTATAGCATACTAAAAAAGCAGCCTTAATGGTAGATTAAACAGGCAGTTTGGGAAGTTATGTTTGTAGGGGCATCTAAAGCTGTAAGACAAAAAAATCAGGAACTTAAGCAAAGAAAAGAAATCAAGAAAGCTGCAGACATTTAGTCCAGTGCTCTGTGAGGTCTCATGTTGAGAAACATTTCTTGCCATGTTGAAATGGTGCATTTTCCCAAAAGTCAGCTGTATCTAAAAATTCCATCAGACTGGAATTTCTAATGCTCTTGCTATCAGCAGCCATCAGTATGATAATCTATTACATACAAAATGTCATGTTAAAAGAGCATCAAGGTTGCAAAGCCATCTCCCTTGTTCATATGCATGACACAATCCTTAATTATATGATCACATATCATATAATTAGAGCATGGCTTAGAGCATGGTTAGGATTGTCAAGAGACTTAAGTTGTAGTCCAATTTCTGACACTAACGTCCTGTGTAGCTTTGGGTAAATTACTCAGTCTCTTTGTGCCTCTGTTTCCCAGCTGTAAAATGCTTAGTAATAATACTTACCCTTTATATAAAGCACTTGGGATCTTCATCAAAAGTATTACTGTATTTTTAAAGAATCACTGTCAACTCATATATCTTTATTGCCATGGACATTTTCAATTATCTACAATTGTTAGTATTTATTATTTGTATTATTGTAGCACCTACACATTCCAATTTATGCTAGGCACTGTTCAAACACAGTAAGAGATGGTGTCTGCCCTGAAAAGCTTGCAGTCAAAATCTAAAGACAGATAAAGGATGCAAGAAAGGAAGTGTTATTATCCATGTTTTACAGATGGGAACCTGAGGCCCAGAGAGATTAGGTGATTAAGTGACACACAAATCAAACCCAGATGTCTAGAGTCCTAATCCAGTGCCTTAATCACAAAACTAAACTTCTGCTTGTTCCTAAACCCACCAGTGGCAAACAGAATTACACAAATGCTCATAATAAAGTATAAGCAGAAGAGCAGAGCAGGCAAGAAAATAAAAAGAAGTTAGGAAGTTGCCACATATGGAAGTTTTAAATTAAAATACATGTTGTTGAAAAATGATATTCCCACTTTCTCTTCAATGTTTGGATTGACTGCATGTCCTTACCTTCTCGGATGGCGGTAAAAGGCACTCCTTCCTCTGTCTCCAGACTGATTACTTTCAAAGCCACCAACTGGCTATTTATTCTAAAGGGTCAGAGTGAAAGGACATAAATGGACTCAGAAGGTGCCCATCAGTGCCTAACATGCCAACTAATACTAACCGCTTGGGACTATTCTGTGCTTTTCTAATAAGGTGTTTAAAGGCTCAGTCCCAAACTCTGCCAAGGTCATGCTCAGCACAACTGTGAAGGGGCAGCAAAGGTGATTCAAAACCACCTTAATGGCTCCTCTGATCCTGGACAGGTTGCTGGCCATTTGGGCACTGGCACAAATTTGAGTTGGCTAAAATAGTCCCCTAAGAACCATTCCATTGGTTGAGTATCAGTGGAATGTATTGTACTTCCACTCTGCCCTCTCCACATGCCAAAACACACCCTCCTTGCCTCCAGGCAGCCCCCCACAATGAAGACTTAACCAGCTTCCCACCATCCGAGGATTCTGCTTTGCCAGGGGAATCCAGAGCGCCTCCTTTGGAACAGCTTTAAGATGACTTTGCACAGCTCTGATAGGGCAAAGCGCCCTTCATCTTAACAAATAAATTCTCTGAGAAACTTAATGGGCCTCGCAAGTGTGTGTAATATTCCAGTAAAGGGAAAACAAAACCTTTTATTTGCTCCTCTCTCGTTTTGAATATTCAGAATCTTCTAATTTCAAATTCACTCCTGGGAAGCTCCACTGGTTTCAGTGGACTAAATAAATGGCAAAATCGCAGGAAGCTCCCTCTGGAACCTGCTCACCTGCTAATCCCCTTGTAAACTGTAGAGTAAGAACCTTCGCACAGCTTCTCCAGATTCAGGTAGGATGAAGCCGTTCCAAACAGGAGGCTCTGTCTCTGCTTAGATAAGAAAAAGACATTTTTTTAGATCCTTTTGTCCCCCAGCAAAAACAGAGGCTATTTGCATGACGTCTATTCTATACACAATGCTTGGTAATTATACTGTGATTCATGGCTAGTGATCATCTCTGGATAAACATCTTATATGGCTGTATACATACTGCACACTCACCCACTGGAATCTCTTCACAAAATCCGTCTCCTGGGAAGGATCGCTGTTACTCCGTGGTTTCTTCCCCCCAGACTTTTGTAGCTGGAGTGTTTGGAACCACTGTGATTGAAGTGAATCCACGGGATGTGGCACTCTGTTCAGATCTGGTAACTGGGAGGGGGGAAGCAAACTAAATCAAAGACAAATTCCTCCTACTTATTGATGATTTTCTCTCTTTTCTCCTCATTTTCTCCGATTTTCAGCTCTTGTTTTCTTTTCCATCTCCTTTCCCACACCCATGTGCCCATGTGCTGATTCTCTAAGTAGCCATAATACGAGCAACTGTTTAAATGCTACAGCTTTTGTATATGGTATAGCTTGTGAAGCTGATATTTAAGAATGCATCAATAACTGGGCTGATTTACCCCTCTATTTTGGTTGTAATCTGTTTGGGGTAGGGACTGCGAACCAAATTCAGAAGAGAGGTTTACGGAAGTCTAAATTTACACCTTCTTCTGCTCCCTTCCCCCACAATTACCCTTCATACTGGGTCTCTCTTACCACTATGTAACTGACACATTTTTATACATCATCTCTGAACTTGACCCATTGTCTTTTTATTGCTGTAAAACACCATGCAAAGTTAGGTTGATATGTCAACATTAAATAAAAATAATAATTAACAGTGTGCAGCCTCCAAACACATATAGCACAACTGCACTGGGGTTGGATGCCTGTATACTATTTAATCCAGATGTAACAGGATTTATAATCCACAGCAGGCTGCCTCCTTTAGCAAGATGTAAATCTTTGGCTCCCCTTCCTGTCTTGCACAGAGATAGCTGGAGTGGGACTTCTCCTCTGAAAACATCAGATCGAGGGAATTCTTCATAAGCTAAAGCATGGGGCGATTATAATTCCTCTCAGCAGGGAATCCACAAGACTAGAGCTGAGATAGCTAGAAGTCCTCTGTGTGGTTTCAATGGAAAGTGTGACCCTTAGTGGATTAGAAAAAACGGCAGACATTTCAGACTTCCAAACAGAATGGAAGACTCTGAGCTCCTTCATTTATCTTTCTGCTAAAATGCTGGCTGGGATACTGGATACCTCCATCATAGACTCCACTTCCACGGACTGGGTACTCTGGCTGCGTTGAGAGCCCTTTCTCTCTGAACAGCAACAGCATGATCCAGGATTGAGAGCATTTACACACAGCGCTTCCCCCATGTTCTCCTGAGTTCGGTAAAAAAATATTATCTCAATCTCTTTCTTTCGACTGTCTGCTCCTCTGTTGCTAAAAGCGTGTTATGCCAGAGTGTTCATATGACTCACATGAGGTCTGTGCCTCAAGTAGTCTCATGATTTCAGCAGTTTTTCTCCATCTGCCCAACACCCAATGGGTCAAATTCATCGCTGGTGTAACTCCTTTGATTTCAGTTAATTTGGCCCAATAGCTTCTAAAAACTGCCAATATTTATGTACTAGCTCAATGGGAAAGGAAAACCTCTGTTAATTCAATATTGTTGTAATTAAGTAATTCACTGTAATTTACTGAGTAATTAAATGTACTGGTTCCCTTAGCAACAGTGGCTTAGTTTGCTTGTACATATATAATAGCTTGTATTAATTATAGTGCATGCTGTTAGGTTTTATGCCATTTTATATGTACAGTGTGGGTGAGCTATGGTTTCTGCAGAAACTGTACATTTGAATTTCCTCACTTCTGTGCATCTAAATTCTTAGCTATCATGTAATAATAACATAAGCTTTGGGCACTCCATGTCCTTGTTTGGTTATTTTTTTGAAGGACAGAGTGAGCTGTGGTTAATGGAATATATTCTGGGCTAAGAACACAAAGTGACTTTAGCAGATTGATGAATCCAGCCCAGAACATATCCCATCAATTGTACATTGCATAATCAGTGCAAAGTAGCCTTAAACTGGCCAGAGATAGGGTGAAGAATCTCCCCCTTTCATTGGAACCCTCTGCCAGTGGAAGTAGCTCTGCTGCCTCTTGAACCAACTTTCCCCCTCTAACCCAGTATAAGGGGTGGGAAGAGGCATATCCTGGGTGTCCTGGGGGCAGAAGTTATGGCACACGGAAAGCAGGTATCTCATTTTCATGGACTTCGCTTCCCAATCCAACACAAGCAGTTCCCCAGTTAACAACCTATAGCCACTATTGAACATCCTGTTTCTTGAGCATTTATCTCCTTTCTCTGGATCCTCTGACTCTTGTTGCTCCATTAGGCTCCTAAGTGTGTATATTTGAGTCAGAACTTGTCTAAGTTAGGGAAATTAGAGAGGTACACCTGTACAAATCCCAATGAATAGAAACTGCCTTTTAAAATACATTTCAGCATAAATACTAATGAAAGATGTAAATTTTTGATAGATAGATTAGATTAGATTTATTTTTCCGTGACACATCTCATACTAAATCACAGAAAAAAAATCACTTTGTTATAACAAAAATGCTAATGTCACTTCTCCCAGCTAGCTGAAGCAGCGAAACGAACAAAGCATCACAATAGGTCTGTACTTCAGAGTACTGAATAAAAATGGAGTATTCAGCCCACGTAGCAGAGGTAGACTCTCTAATTTACTGTTAGAATGATTACTGTGAGGGAAGGTGAGAGCAAATACCAGACTCCCTGTAACTGCTGCATTATGGCACCTCGGTATCTAAAGAAATGCTGCAAGGTAATATAAGATTCTTATCACTACATAAATAATGACACAGAAGAGCACATTATTTTAGAAACATTAAAGTGTTTTAAATATAATTTAAAAAAAAAAGGAAACAAAGGATGGCCTTGCAATTAATGCCCCGGACTGGGACTTTGGAAATTTGGGGCTTTATCCTGCTCCCATTGACTTCCATGGCAAAACTCCCATTGACTTCAGTAGAGTAGGATCAACCCCCCTGGGTTGCTTACTAGACCTTCCACAGACTTCCTGTGTGGGTTTTATTATTTGTTTGTTTCTTCAAAAATTTAAATGCATTGATAGGTGCCCAACTGGCGGTCTGGGTGCCTATCTCTCAGTCATGGCCTTGCACAAATCACTTAACAGCTCCATTGTTCAGTTTCTCTAGCTTCTAAGTGTTCCTCAGTTTGAGTATGTTCTTTAATAGTTCTCTGGGAGAGACTGGTTTTGGGGTTTTCAGCTGTAGTCTGGTACTGTAGTTCATAGACAGCTATCTTTGCCAGAAAGGTAAATGGCAAGTTTAATTTTCCCACCAAGCCAGAGTAGGCTGTTTAGCCACTTTTAAAGCCATCTAGACTTTGTAATAGCAGCTATTGCTGCTAACGGATACAGTGTGGTTTGATTTCAAGAAGATTTTCATTGTCTTAGTAATGCTGAAGGTTTAATGAGTTTATGTTAGATCATAGGTTCTAATATCTCCTAAAAACTGTGTTCTGTGTGCATGCTACACACACACACACATTCAGTTATTTCTGTAATTCTAAGCACTATGCTATATCATTTGTATTAAAGTGACTATTAATTTACCATTATGGCTCATTATTATGCAATTGAAGCTGGTAAGACTTGTTAGTTATTTCCTTGGTGATAGGGTCCCTGCACCATGGTGTAGCAGGCTGCAGTCAAACTGTCTAACATATAATGGATTTCTGTGGTGCCTCGAGCAAAACTCTGATCCAGCTTCTCATAGCGTGCACATGTACTGCAGGTTTTATCTTTGTCTTTTGGTGTTTGGTGTAATTTGGTGTTTTTGTAATTATTCTGCAGTTCATTGGTTTTGGCGTGGCACTGGCATGCATCCTAGGAATACCCCTGCATTTGCTCTACAAGCCACTGGTCGATTTTTGCATTCTGGTGATTACTGGAAAGATAAGACTGAACTTTCCTCAGAGGGCAAGGAAATCCAGGATATCCTGACAGGACCATGAGGAAGGTGAGAACTCAGGGTCTGTGAATTTGCCACAAGCTGGAGTCATAAGCCGGTTTGCTTAGGTGTGTGCCAGCATTCAAATACAGGGGGACATCTGGTCAAGATGGCCCCAAAGCAGTGCAGGTAACAGGTAACCAGACAGGTCAGTCCAGATGTGAAGCAATGAAGTGTGAGATTGCAATGGAAGGACTACCTAAAGTGGTATAATTAATTTGAAATAGGGCTGCATCCACATGAACCTTATAGTGGTATAACTCATTCCAAAATATGTTGCTTCCAAAATGGAGTAATTATATATATATAGCAGAATAAGATGCAAAATAAGGTAGAAAAAGATCATTTGTGTGCAGATGCAGGTACTTATGCCAAAAAAACTAAAGATATATTGAAAAATCTTTCATATGTAGAGAAGGCCCTACAGCAGACTCTTGTAGATTTTATGTAATGTTTAAATAAAAATAATGTAGTTGTTAATTACAGGCTGGCAGTGCCTTAATAAGAACAACACACTGTAAATAGTAGCTTTCAATTTCCCCCTCTAACTTACTTGTTATACTTTCCTATCTCCTTGTTTCAGTCATAGCCCCTAACCAATTAACTCTATAAACATAATAATTATGTTGTCATTGGACATGCCAGTGGACTCTCCCATAAGAGGTTGTGATAATTTGTGAGAGGGTTGATTTAGAGGAAAAGGAGTCAACTCTTCTGGTCTCTGTTCTTAGGTGTGCCACTGACTTGTTGTGTGAGCTTGGATAAGTTTCTTAACCTCTTTGTACATCAGTTTCTCCAGTAATAACACTTGCTACTATGCAGAGGAATTATGACGCTTAATGTTTATACAGTGCTTAGAGAGCTCCAGGTGAAAGATGCCATAGAAGTACAAAGTATCCCTGTATTAAGGATGTTCTGTGAGTTGAGGAAGGATTGGATCTTTTATCGTATTTTGAAGGCTTCAAAGTAAAACACAGTATTGTTTCAACATGTTCAAAAAAACATGTCAGGCCCCCAAATCATGAGATTAGTTTAAAAATCATGAGATGAGTTAAAAATTTATAAATATTGGATTATTTTCATTTGCCTTCTAGTTTTGAGCCTTTATGAACTTTTATCACATTTTGAAACTTTTCTCTGCACTCCTGAGGGCTAGAAACTTACTTTTTTTTAAAAAAATGAAAGCTCAGAAACACTCTAATCACATGACTCCAGGAGCTGGGACTTTAAGAATAAAACCAAATTTCATGAGAGTCACAATAAAATTGTAAGAGTTGGTAATACTGAAAATATAACTTCTTGCTTCTCCTTTGACACACTGCAAATCTTAGAAATAAGGTGGGTGAGAGATATAAGTTTCAATAATCATAATAATATGAAAAAAATGGTCATGACTTTGCTTCTTAGAATTTATTATATGATGTAACATACCCAATATTAAGTTTTACTTTTCCTATACCTTCTCATGGTTTATATGGTAATGAATTGGAAGTGTGTATGTGCAACACTGCCCTCTACTGGATGGGATCAGAAATGATCCACTGTGTGTCTGCTATTCCTTACCAGCAATTCTGGCTTTAGTAAGTGGTAGTTAGAGTCTTGCAATGTGACCTGAATCTGATGGGACCCGACTACAAGCGTTAGGGTTGGGTCAGCCCTGAAAACAACCAACACTCTCAGGCGCAGGTTCAGTGGTCTCTTATCACCTCTTCCTGCCTGTGGGGTTGGCACAGTGGTCCAGGCTGTGTGCGCCACTCTTGCTGGTCGTCACAACCTTGCTGCCCTCTCACTCTGTAGCACACACAGTGCAGTGAGGTGTGGAGGCTGTCAGGATAGGGGCATGCAGCTGCTGCTGAGCCAACCCCACAGGCAGGGCGCGGCAGGAGATGGATTATGGGCACAGGGCCTGGGGACCAGGAAGCCCCATCAGGCCAAACCCCAAGGATGAGGTGGTGACACTGACTGTCTACATATTACATCCTACAGAGGGGGACTGTCAGAGTCAGGTCGGGTCTGAAAACACTCGACACTCAGGCTCGGGTCGGGTTCAGGTCGGTTGTGGGCTAGTTGTAGTTGGGCTTTCAAATTAGGTCCAAGGCCAAGCAGACCTCTAGTGGTAAGAGAAATGAATATAGAGTTTGGAGCTGCTGAGCTCTAAACCCAGTGCTGTCATCGACTCTCTGTGACCGTGGACAAGTCCCTTTACCTTTCTTTGCCACCATTGATCCACGTGTAAAGTGGGAATAATAATGCTGAACCCCTTTCCATCGATGTTGCAAGTAATACAAGTCCAGTGTTTTGAATGTGTAAAACT